ATTTAATTTTTTTTTGGCTACAGTCCTCGATTGGCTGGCAGCCCCTGAGAGGATTTAGGCTGGGGTGAGATAAGGCTGCATCTCATTGGGATTACCTGCTTGTGGTGCATTTTCACTTCTGTTGCTGAGTAATACAGCCAGAAATAGCAGTCTGCCTTTCTGTGGCACTGGCCATCAGTAACAAATAGAGGGGTTGGCTGGGGATAGTGGTGCATGTCTGTAATCCCAGTACCTGAGAGGCTGAGGCAGCAGAATCTCTGTGAATTTGAGGCCAGCCTGGGTTACATAGTGAGATCAGAGCCAGCCTGAACTACAAAGTCAGACCTTGTCTCAAAAAAATAAAACAAATAGAGGGGTGGTAAATTCTATAATTTTAGACCTCAGATCATATCTAGATGAGGGTTCTTAATTTGGAGGTTAATTTATTGGTTTAATGGATCTATAAAACCCTTGAAATGGTATGAAAAATCATGTGTGTATGTGCATGTGTCTTTTTTTCCCCAAGAGTCCATAACTGTTGCTGGTGCTCAAAGAGTTGTTGACTCCTCTCCTAAAATATTAAGAACTACACTTTAGAGTATCACTAAGGTCATCTGGTATACATCTTACTAATGGAGCATAACTTAAAAATTTTAGAAACTGAGATAAAATGCTGCAGTGGCATTTCCTTGAGGTCATTGATGAAATGACTGGGAATGAGATCCATAAACTGAGGAATTCAGAGATAAATTAGTAGTGGCTGTTTTCTTCCCCAAGATAGGTTGTATATGGGGCTGGACTTGTGACTTAGTAGAGTGCTTGTTTAGCATCCATGAGGCCTGTGGTTTGATCCCCAGCATTGCACCAAAAAAAAAGCCTGGTGTGGGATTACACCTGTAATCCCAGGACTCTGGGAGTCAGGAGGATCTCAAGTTTGAGCCCAGACTCAAAATCTCTAGACCTTGTCTCAAAATAAAGAATTTGTGAAAAGGGCTGAGGACATAGCTCAGTGAACTTTGAGTTCAATCCCCAGTAGGGGGTGAGTGCGGGGAATATAGGTTGTGAATGTATGTTTATTTGAAGTTATATAAGCCAAGTTATCTAGGAATGAAGTGGCATGATATCTACATGTTATTATTTTTAAAAATTTTTCTTTTTTATCTCTACAGTTTAGTGTGTGTGTGTGTGTGTGTGTGTGTGTGTGTGTGTGTGTGTTGTTGTTTTGCTTTGTTTTGAGACAAAGTCTCACTATATAGTTCAGGCTGGCCTCAAACTCACAGCAGTCCTCCTACCTCAGTCTCCAGGTGTGCGCCACCACACCCAGCCTCTGTAGTTTATTTTGAAATGGGCTGGCAAAATAAAAAAATTGTGTGCAAGTGTATATGTGTTGTATATATAAAGATAAAAGAAATGGGGCAAAATGTTAAACTGTTGGATTTAGGTGTTTACTGAATTACTATTTCAACTCTTCTGTGGTTTGAAATTTTTCAATATAAGACACTAGGGAAAATAAATTTGTA